CCTGTACTTTAATACAGTGTATTTGATGTTAATAAAAGGAGATTCAGGTAGCTTCACACACAAGTGGATTGATGCCTGGTGATATTTTCTTTGTTTAATGTGAGCCTAGCCTGTATTCTGTATTGTCTGTTGTCATGTACTGACATGGTGAATAATGAATAATTAAACAGAAAATGTGTAATTATTTAACTATACAGCAGAGTGAAAAACAACACATAGAAATAGTTCTAAAGGTAAAACGAACAGATAGTATATATTTATTATACTGACATTTTACTGACACCACACCCGCAGCAGCAATTCTTTGTGTGGTACATCTAAATGTATTTACACACGACATCAAACAGAACAAAAATATAAACCACACTTTGTCAAAGCAAGCCCTGTTTAGCAGCATCACTTGTCAGGTGGCTGAAGTATTCAGTGAGGCAGACATTCCCTTTACCGTCTCACCTCTACGTTATCTTAATGATCTCCTACAAGTGTCTAACTCCTCTGACGAGATTCAGGGGAAGAGCTGTAATCGGTGTATTTCCTCTAACCTGACAGTATTCCCTGTGAGCATTTCATCTTGATATTGAATGGAATATGCTAAAACGGTACGTGTTTGTCTGGCAGTGTAGGCCCGTTTCTACTGAGCTGAGAGCCACTAAAAAATGAGAATGGAGGGAATGATTCACTTTCATGAATATCCTTCACAAGAAGATACCATAAATGTCCTCATTCTCAAACTGGAGATGATGATGATCATGATGATGATCGTGAGTAGTGGAGCTAACTAGTGGTTGTAAACAAAACTAACTGGCAGTGACGAGATCATGACAAGTAGTTTGGTGTTGCAGTTTTGCCATCTCGGTTTCAAAACAGCAACTCGAGCTTCCGTGAATGATGCTGAAGATATTCTAAACACTTGCTGTGGAGTAAATGTTGAATATACACATTATTGTTTATTTGTGCCCAAACTTTGTGTAACATAAGTGACTTTTAGAGGTATAAATACAGAATATCTTACCGTCCATGGTTTCATACTGTATGTTTCTTGTGTATTCGTTGGTTTAGAAATTCAATAATCGAACATACTTTTACAGAGTGATTGACGCAAAAGAAACAGGAAATACATTAGAGAGAATCCGTGGGAGGAAGTGGGGCTCCCTGTTTACATCTCTGTCTTATAGTTTCCAGGCTGACAAAGAAAGACCGCAAGAACGCTTGGCGTGTAGCTGAAGTCACATGATCAGCAGAGGAACTACCAGACGCCCTGCCTTCGGTACCTTCCCACGGGCTGATATATAAACCTCTTCAACCCACATCGCAAAAACATACCAGAAAAGGCAGCGCTTGAAGAGAAAGGCAGAGTTTAAGAGTTTGTGGATACAAAACCAAAATGAACAAAACAAACTTGTTGGATTTTTTTATCTTTGGGATGGTTTCCATTCTTATAACAGGTAACTGTGTGATCAACTCAAAAGCAAATCTGCGCTAAAATACAATTTAAAAAAAAATTGAAGTTAATTTCATGTTTTTCTTCACACAGGCTCCAGATGTGAGGCGATACACAGTGAAGTATTTGCTGCAGAAGGCTCGGATGTTGTACTACCCTGTAAATACCCTGCAATACTGATCAGCAGTCCACCTGCGATTGTCTGGAGTCATAAGGAGAAAGGGTAAGATGAAACTTCTCCTTTTTTTTTTTTTTTACATTTTTGCTATTCTCTTTCACTTTTCATCTGCAGATTAACCAGCTTTAACCCCTTACACAACAACAAACTCCTTCCTCATTCACTAATAAAAGACTTGTATCTATTTGCTGATGACTGATTGTTGTGATTCCCTTTCATCTACAGCACTATTTGGAGGAAGGAACGGAGCGGTCTGGAATACCGCGGCTCTCGATGGTCCCAACGTGTGCAGTGCCCCCACCTCCAGCTTGATAGTGGCACATTCAGCATTCAGATAAACAACGTGACAGAGGACGATGTTGGACTTTATTCCTGTAAAGTGGACCTTAGAAACCAAATGATTGAAAAGCAGGTCATGCTCAGACTTATTAAAGGTAAGAAGCACTAATTGAGCACGCCTACACTCACTAATTACAAAAGACCACAGAGCTTTTTACCATATAAAAAAGTAATATTTATTTGTGATATAAAAGTGTGACCAATAAAATAAATATTAAACATCTGTAGTATGTAGTATTTACTGTAAATTGACAGAAATCTCACTCTCTTCATTTACAGTGTCCTTTTCTCCACCGGCTCCCCTCTCTGGAAGCAACACTCAACTGTCTTGTGCTTTGAAACCTTGGCGTCATGGCGTCTCTGTGGAGTGGATGTTAAACAACAATCCATATTTGCCTCAGGCTAAAACCGGCTTGCACGGCGACAAAGTTTCAAGGGTTTTAAGAGTCACCGAGAAAGAGAGCGGAACCTGGACCTGCGTCGTGACGTACAAAGGAGAAAAGGGCCAAGCTTCAGCAGCTCTGGATGTGAAAGGTGAAATATTAAGCTGGACAACTGATTTATGAAGCTGTTGGATAAAGTATTTTGTGCTCTTAACAATTTTCTTTCTTTCTTTCCTGCACAGGAATCATCCAACCACCCAAAGATAACGCCAAGGTTTACGCTACTGTGGGGTCTCCGGTCACTCTCCCCTGTGTGTTTTCCTCTGGTTTAAGAACTTTGAGCGCAGGCTGGGAGAAAATCAATCCTGTGTCTCCATCCACCCGCGATCTCCAACTGCTTTCTTTGGCTTCGTCCTCACCTGATCGGCTCCGCTGGGATAGGTCTATCCGTATTAATGAGGTCACATACGAGGACGAAGGAAAGTACAGCTGTAGTGGGAATGTAGGACAGCAAAGGCTGACTCGGACTTTGCAGCTCGTTGTTGCTAAAAGTAAGTTTCTGATCTTTCAGTTTGAGGGAAAATTCAATGCACTTGTATTTTTGATATAAAATCATTTCTCTTGTTTCTTTTCTCAGTCGTCCGCTTAAAGCAAAAATACTCAACGGAGCTGACCTGCCAGCTGAGCGATGCAAGCGAGGTCACCGAATACGAGTGGGCTCATGTGACCTACGATGAAAATGGCACCGCGGTTGTGGGGTCCATCCAGAAGGGAAAGGATATAATCATTACCGACGGGTCAGAGGAGAGCTGGGGCGAATGGACATGTAGTTTCTATGGGCAAGATGGCCTTTTGGGGAATGTGACATACAATACTCATCTGATGAGTAAGTTCTCATTTTTGGTGTTTTTCTACTTCTGCTGTGCTAAAAAATAAATATTAACTATAAAGAACATTAAAACCTTTTTTTAAATGTTTATTTTATATTTTTGCAGGTGGTCTGAGCGGACAGAAATCCTCAAGCGCATCAAATAACACCGCCACAGTGGTCGGCCTCAGCTTTCTCCTCATTGTTCTGCTCCTCATTGTGGCTCAGATGTACAAGAACCACCAAAGGGTAAAAAAAACAAAATTTGTAATTTTGAAAAATCGCATAGAATAAATATGAAAGCGTGCATTCACAGATTATATCTGTAGGGATTACCTCAAATAACGCTGTACATCTCTTCCCCACAGAGGAAAAGGATCTTTCAGTATCCCGCCCTGGAGACCATTGTTCATACCATCTCCAACGAGCGGGAGGAGAGAGAAAGGAACCGGGAGAAAATCTAAGGACACATAAAATTCGAGGCTTCGCTGGAAGAATTTCAGAGCACTAAATTGAAGCAAAATCTCTTGCCGCCTGCAATATGTTGAGAGACTCTTGTTTACACAGATTTTGTAAATATTTTCAGAGCAGATACTGTAGCAATGCTGTTTCATTCGAACAAAAATGAAATGCACTATATCCTGTGTTTCAGCTGTGCATGTTTTAAACTGTTGTATGTGTGACGATTTACATTTGCTTTTAAATGACAAACTGAGAACAAACTGCTTGACAAATAAAGAGCATTTAACAGAAATACATCGATTTTTGTTTATTACACGTATGCACAGTCGAATTATTGTTGGTCAGTGGCAGAGAACTATTGGTGCTCGTATAAATAAAATACACAGCAACTTAGAAAATAAGTTTCAGTATTTACATCAAACACTAGCTCTATAAACCAAACACTGACTACATTTATCGCTATTTTACATTCACTTCAGAATAATTAATGGTCCAAAATTCAGACAGTGAGGACCGATGTGCTACAAATAAAATATTTGTGCAAAGAAGTATCTTTTGTAAATCTCCTTTCCCTCCTTAGGTTGCTTCAACTTTTTATAAAAAGTCTACCATCCTTGTCAATTCATCGCTCTGAAATTAAGATCCACATCCATCTTCTTGCTCCGACAGTTTTTAGCCAACCCACTGCGACTGACCTCAGCTAGCTGGCTGGCAGTTTAGCGCTGAAACCACTCTGTGGCTACAGCTGCAATGCCGCTTTCACGCTACACCTGGCTGCACTCGCCATCTTCTTGCTCCGACAGTTCGCTGATACCACACAAGGCCAAAGATTGGTTGATTTCCTCCAGAAAACCATTTGTGGAAGGACGTAAATGATCATTAACTTCTTCGTCATCAAAGCACCAGCCGGGCCAATCCACATTTACACCTTCTGCAAACACACTGAAAGGGGGAAACAGAAGGTCAAAGGTCATCATTCTTTCAACATTTACCGGGTCACAATCAGGTGACCCCTTAAAGAGCTTTTAGTCTACCTCAAGTCGGATGATGCATTTTTAATAAGCACATATATATAAAGCAATGTGCTTTCAGTGACAACATTAAAGATAAACATGCAGAATGTCCATGTTTACCATGATGTCGCTTTTAGTACAACATATTTATTGATGCTTTAAGGTGCACATCGCTCCGAGTGTAAAGCTGTGTAAACACAGGCTTAAAGTGTTAACTGAGTCTATAAAAAGATTAAAATTACATTTTATATTACTAATTTGACTCTGAAGAGTTGCAACTAATGTTACTAAACTGATGTAGAGGAGGCTATTTTAATTAACGGCGTAGTGAAGAAGAAGTTCAAAATAGTAAAAACAAAAACACAGTAAAAGTAACTCTATACTCAGTACTTATATCTCTGTTTTCTATAGCATGTAAAATGATATATTAATACATATTATATAGATATTATATGCTACATAATACCTGTTATAATGTATAATGCATAAGCATTATGTATAATGTTATGTATAAAGATCCACAGTTTTCAATATTGTAAGAACACTAAATTAGAATGAATGTTCCAACAATAATTGAGGAATTATACATACTTTTTACTAACCAGAAGAACAATATATAAATTTAGAAAAAAGTAAATAAAGATATTTTAGGAGTGCTGCTGACTCCGGCATAAAAAACTAACTTTAAAACAAGAAAAATGTTTTTTTTTCTCAGTGTTTTGTGAGAAAGAAATTTGCTTCATTATTATTCATTATGTTAATCAAAACCTAAGCGTGCTTATAGCACATTGAGGTTAGAGACAGTAACATTTCCACTGTAACAGAACGGTCTATTTGTTACCAGCCTACACCTCACTGAAAACTCATTTAAAGATTAGAAGCTTTATGGGCTTAAAGATATATTTAAAAGTGATGCGTGCTAACTCTGTCCACTATTTTAAGTCAGTGAGTTTTTTTAGTTAAATGTCTGATCTGCACTACAGCGTAAACTATTTGCTTCAACTCAGTCTGTCAGTATGTGGGGCACATGAGAGAAAGCAACCCACCCGACCCCACTGTGGTCTTTACTGTGGTAAGTGCAGTATGCAGCAGAAATCAGCAGCAATGCAAAGCATTATGAAGATACAAATACTGTAATACCACAAGTGACTTCAAATGTCAATGGAAATTTTAATGTAACAAATCTTCTTTGAACATTATGGAAAACTGTGGCTTTTAAGGCTCAATTTGCTCTGTTTCATCTTGGTAACTTAGCTATTCTGAGGAAAGCTTTTATACCCATAACGATCTAAAGATAAAATATGTAATATGTAAATCTTTTGAGTTGATATGATAGGTGCATGTTTTCTCTGATTGTTGTCTGTGTGTGACAGTAAATGTTCAGGGCTGTTGTTTTACATGTATTCCTTATGTCTTTATTCTTAGAGGATGAAAATCACTTGCCTGGCAGTAATCACTTGTTTTTAAATGTTCAGTAGTCCTGGTAGTGCTTGTTTACAGCTCTGTGTTTATTCTCGGACTCTACTAGAGTAGCTTTGCATGATTCACAGTTCAAAAATTTATCTTGTAATGAGCTTTGTTCCAGCCTCAGGCTGAAATAAGCCAGCTTTCTTCTCATTAATGCCTCTAAAAAATAAAAGTTTTCTGAACAGCAGGTGGGTGGGGTGCACGCTCTTACAGTCAGTGCAGTGTGCCTGAGAAGACCATATTAGGGATATGGCCCCTCTTTGACGTCATTCGTAGGTTGAAACGAACATTTAGAGCGAAACAAAAGCCTGAGCTTTTCATTTGCGGGGATTAGATAAATGACAGAAAATGGAGGAGGATAAAAGGTCCCTTTTAAATAAAATGTGAATAAGAATGAAAACAAAGGGAACTTATCACTGCCATATACTGACCTGTTCCCCTGCTCATCTTCATCTCCATCTACCAGCTGCTCCTTCCATCCTTGACTCACGCTGAGGGCCTTGGGTCTTGCTACTTCCACTTCCTCCAAGTCTGTGTCTCTGTCTCCATCACTGCGTGACGGCGAAGATGTGGCAGAAAATGAGGGAGAAGGAGAAGGGTATCTTGACCTCAGAGTTGTTGTTTTTAAATTTCTGTCTTTTTTAAATCCTCCTCTCCCCCTGTCTCTGTTTTTCGCTCTTTCTAAAAGGCCCTCCAGTCGTGAGGAATGTTCATCGTCTGTTTGGGGTGGCGAGTGTAAGCTACTGGGGCGAAGTTTGGCTTTTCCTTTTGGTTTCATGTTGGAAACAGAAGAACTTCTGTGGGTTTTTATTTTGGGCTTTTTGTTTTCCAACTTCCTGTCAGGCAGCTCAGATTCAGAGAAGGCTTGGGGATCAGAAAAGACTCTATCATTCCAAAACGTGTCTGGGTTTGACTTCAGGGTGCCCAGTTTGACTGTCTGCTGTGGATCAGATTGGCAGGGCATGTAGATAGGAAGAGAGTTTCTTTTCAGCTTTGGGTTGTAGTCTGAGCCAAAATTAGAGGAAGAGTAGTTGTTTGAAGCAGCCCCAGTTTGTTCCAAACTCTGAAAAAACTCCTTAGATGTGCGAAAAGTGGCTGGATTTGTGCTGACTGGTCTCCTCCGTTGTATCCCAGGAGACTTTATATTTCTGGAGACCCACGCCTGTTGAGGTGTCTTAGTGTCTCCAAACAGACTGCCACTGGAATTTCTCCCTGCGTCCTGGTTCACGGAGAGGGAATCTGAGTCTTTTCTTGTTAATATTTCTTGTTGAGTCTGCTGTCTTAAAAACTCAGGTCCCTTCATTATTATCGGTTGATAATTAGATTGTAAAGTGTCATCTTCATTTGTTGGGTAGTCAACATCTGGGAGTTCACCTGGTAAAAAACTGTATTTTCTCACGGTGTTGTGTTTAAATGGCAGTGCAGCACTTGTGAGAGAATCCAGAGGAGGGAAAGACTGTCTCAAAGTCATGCTCTGCTCCTCTGTCATCTGAGATTCAACAATTCTGTCTTCATCCTCCCCCTGGTTTCCACTTTGATCATGTCTCACTCCCAATTCTATCCATTCATGTCCCCTGAAAGCCGGTGAACGCCTCTTGCGCCCGATTTTGTCCTCAGTGTTATTGGGCTCTGTGCACCAAAAAGGTAACTCACTTTTATTAGTGGTCATCTCATCTGGAGATTGATACGGTTCTGGCTCTGCCAACCCATTTATCAAGTTAGAGATAAAAGTATCATCAGTGGATTCGTCCATCGAGGTCTCCATTGGCTGTGCAACAGGTTGTTCTTCTGTCTCCACATCGTCTGTCTTTGCTTCTTTAACAGGGTTTTCATTTTGCTGGTTTGTCTCTGTCTCCTGTCTGTGGTGCTCTGCCTCTCTCAACTGCCTCAGTGTTTCCTAACAAACCATCCAAAGAAAAAAAGTGACTCAACTGGTTCACACATAAAAACACCCATTTACCACCTACTGGTTCCACACATTTCCACCAAAATGTTGAAAGTACTGCCGTCACGCTCTAACGAAGGAGCTACGACATGAAATTAATAAATGGCTTGCAAATGCAGCCCACAGATTCTATCTGCCATTCATTTTTACATGAAGTACCCCAAGTTCTACTAGCAATACTATGTCAATACTATGTTTTAGATGTTTTATGAAACTGGATTGAATTGTGGGCGGGTACTGAAAAGGCACCTTTGAAGATAAAAGCCTATTTTAAATTCTTAATTTCTTTTACTGGACTTTCTCAAGATAAAATTTAACCAGGATCTGCAGTTTGGGACAAATCTCCCCATTTGGGGCAGTACAAAAAAATCAGGCAGTCTTGTAAAGTCTTTCGCAGGACTTAAAATGAAAATTTTTTTATCAAAAAACAAATGCTAGATAGACCAAATATGGTATTTTAAATTTTTGGAGCCAACTTTGCAGATAGTCTGATAACTCAGATTTACCGTAGTTCAAAATATATTGGAAGGCATTAAAAACACAACAATGTGCTGCACAGTCACTTCACATGCCGGCCTTTTTCCACTGCTCTACATACCACTGACATAGACTGGCTATCAACAAGAACATCCGCTTAAGCTGAGACAAAACATAACTCAAGTGCACAATGATACATTTCCACTGAGAAGATGGAAAATTATGCAAAGCAGGACAGTAAAAAGTAGGCATGCATTCTTGCAGCTTTCTGTTCTAACAGGTGACGACAAAGTAACTTTTATCCAACCTTCCTTTTATCCCCAGTGTACAGCAGCTGAGCTGTTCTGGTCCCCTCCCCAATTGGACCAGTAGTGACATGTTTAGTTTTCCTTAAACAGCTGGCTGCCTGAGTAGTGTCCAAAAATGATATGGGTTTCTCTGCTAACAAGGCCAGGGATGGAGTTGCTCTCACTTCTGGAAATCTGGCAGAATTAAATATTTTTCTGGAGGAATTTAAAAAAAGATTCCAAAACATGACTATCCAGAGTCATGACTGAAAATAGGTCACTGAGCTTGTGTCTTATTTATATCAGTGTTAAAATAGCAACACTGTAACACTGAATGACTGCAATAAGAAGATGCTTTTAAAGTTCTGTCAACTATGTGGGGTCTAAACCAAAACCTGACACTGTCATTCTCATAGCAAAGGGTATGGTGCTCTTATAGATAAAGTTTAAGCCAGACTACAAAGATTTCAAAATTTCTAATATTTTATTTTATTTTCTGATACCTTCGCTTGGTCGATGGTGGACACCCATATGGAGCAATTCTCTGAGGTGCTGGCGACAAGTATGACGACATTCATAGCACTCTGAAGCTCACCTACCTCCACAAGGAGAAATGAATCTGAGAGAAGCAGACAGACAGTTAGATTGTTAGATTGTTAGATAGTTAGATTGTTCTTTTTATAATAATTAAGCTACATCCAAGACTCTAGTCTAAAAGAAAGTGCTACACACAGCCATCTTTCAGTGGTATGCAGTACATCCTGTCGAGGGCCAGAGGAGGTCGAACCACCTTCAGCCGCTCTGTTTTCTTCTGGACTTTGGTGAGTAGAAGCACATCTGAGAAAAGCAGAGCCACCAACTCCAGCTACATCATACCAAGAAAAGGGGAAAAAATTAATAAATACAAAGTAATTTGTAGTAGTTTTGAGGAACGCAAAGTAAAATCATAATAATTAAGTGCACAGTTTTTGCTCACTTTACTGTCTTTCCTGCCTCGAACCTTCAAGCTCTCCTCACGCAGCAGCTTGCGTACAACTTCAGAACCTACACCTTTGATGGGGCACGTTAGGTCAAACTTGCAGACTTCTTGGACATGCTGTCAATGAAATCAACCTCATGTAAATATCAGAAGCATTTCAAAAGAATAGAGGTAATATCTTTTTGAGTTTCCTGTTCACTACATTACACGCACTAGTGATTATAAACTCAACACTGACCTGCTGCATCTCACCAATATGTAACCCACTCTTGTGTGAATCCCACCATTTAGAAAACCACAACAATAACCTCAGTGCCCACAGAACTTAGTCATTACAGCACTTCGTGCTTTACATCCACAAAACAAGGTAAACACAGATGTGACATCTAAGCTCTCGCATCTTTGAATTAAACTTTTTCTCTTCTCCAGATTTCAAGCCACACAAACATCAATGCACTTTTTATGTATAATGCACTGTGTAGACTTTATTGCAGTAAAACAAAAGTACACTTTCAACACAGAAATTCCTCTGGGCTTAAGAATGAAGTAAGTCTGTTTATTTTTTGTTGAAAGGTCAATCCATAAGCTACAAAATAACTCCAAAGAACAGAAAAAAGTGACAAAATGATGACAAAGATGTGTTTTACCCTGTCGATTTCCTCATTTAGTCCATCCACCTCATACCCATCCAACCTCTGAGCAGAGATGTTGAGTGCGTGTTGCTCATCTTTTAGTCGCAGGTAGTCATTGATACCTTCCAAAAAATTATTTACACTGAACAACTGTACAGGGGAACAGACAAAGGAGGCCAGTGTGATGCAATGACTCACATATTGCATCTATAAAGGGAAAAACATTCTGTGGTGAATTTAAAAGGATTTTATTTAAAGGTATCTAATCCTCACCATGCCTCTGAGTGTGTGCTCCACAGGAGGGTCCTGAGTGTGTTTGAGCACAGCTTTGAGCAGCAGGGGATACTTTGTGATCCTCTGATGGGGTTTGGCCTGCATGTCTCCAAGACGCATCCGATCGCCCTGAGGATGATTCTCTACCCACTGGAGAGGACAAAAAAAACACAAGAATATGAACTCAACTTGATGCTTTCAAAATAAAACTGATAGCCTGACAACCAAGTTTCTTAAAACTATCCAGTTAAGTTCAAGACTCATTGTAATAATGCAGAATTTGTGTAGTTTTGCCTCTGTACAGCACAACAGCGGATGTTACGTGACTAAACAGCAGGCATTCAACTTCAATTCAATGGGTTCAAGAAACAAAATTAATTATTCAGCAATTTAGAAAAACTTTCTTTACGCATCTAGACAGAGTGACAAACAGTTTCATGGTCTGTTGTTATTCCTTGACAATGAAGCAGTCATAATATCTGCAAGTGATTCAAAGTTCCCAGTAATTTTGAATACGAGGCCCAAAGAGATGTGAGGGAAAGTGAAATAGATGTCACACAAGACATTGTGACAGAATTATTTCCACGTTTAAGACAAACAAGACCAACAACAACACAGCAACTAATCAGGTCATAAACATTGTCAAGGAGGTGGCTGCATCATTATCAACATCTACAATCAACAGACGCCTCCATGAGTGCAAATATAGCACATTTACAACAATGCGCAAACCACTGGGTACGCTCAAGAGCAGGAAGGACAGATTAGATTTTTCCATAAAACTACATATGCTACATATATCAGACTTATCCGAATGCTACAAAACCGATCGGGCAGGGCTTCACAGTGCAAATGGATAGTGACCCGAAGCAAACTGGAAAAGCAGTCCAAGAGTTTCTCAAGGCAAAGACACGACACGTTCTGCAATGGTCAAGTCAGTCACATCAAACAGAGCAGCTTTTCAGTTACTGAAGATAAAACGGAAGGCGGAAAAAAGAAAACCACAAACAGCAGCAACTGAATTTTGCTTCAACGAAGGCCTGGCAGAGCATCTCAGGGAAACAGCATTTAATGATGTCCATGGCTTCTACACTTTGTTAAACCCTTTGAATTACAGCAAGTCCTGCTGTACCACCACGAGTAACCGATGGAAGGAGCAGATTCAAAGAAAGTCAATTCAATCACATATTGATCATTTGATTAAAAACCCACTGTGGTTATGTGGAGAGACAGAATTGAAAAAAGAAACCTGTCTTTATCTAACGAATGCACTAATTATATATTTGATAAAATCATCGACTTCACAGTGATTAAACAAGAAGGTGAAGACAATTCACAGAAGTCTCTGATTTCTCTATAATTTTATTAATGAACTGCCAGAAGACTCTGTGACTGATATCAGAACCACCTCTAAAACCTTCTGAATGAAACTATAACTGGAAAAAGAAAAAAACCTTAAATGAGTTATTTTTGTTTTAACAGCCACACCCTCATTGCCCAGTAAGCGCCAGTTCTTGGTAAAGGAAGGCTTTAACTGTTAAACACAAGGTAGCACTAGCTGATTCTGCTGGAAATATCTACAAATATAGAACTGGTTTTAGTTTAAATATGATTGTGTTCATCTAAAGGTACTTTCTGACTCGTCACAGCGATGTTTGTGATGATTCTGATTTTTTCGACACCAGACGTGACCATCCCCACAAGGATTTCGCTTCTTCTCTCGGGGACAAAGTGAGGATCGTTTGCCTGTTAGCCAAATATGTAAGAGGTGTTGTAGGTCACACTCTTCTTGCAGCCTCTTTTCCCATAAATCTTCTGCACAAATCTTTGTGAACTAGATATCTTTCACACCGCTGTTAAGGCTGAATCATTTGGAGAAGACGTTGGTGCCCGTCAGGAAGCAGCTCTAAGAAGTCGCCCACAAGCTTATGAAAACATTACAAACCACAAAACACAACCAATAGCAACTGAACTTTTAGTCAGTCATTAAAATGAATTACATTGAAATAATAACTGGGTTAGTGTGGGAGAGCAATTCTTTGATCTTCAGATGTATAGAATGCATGCACAGGCTGTATATGGATGTTACTGCTGCTTCACTGTACCTGGACGTAAGTGGAGAAATGTAGGTTGTTCTCCATCTGCCTGCGCGAGAATTCAAGATTGTCTTCCTCCTTCAGGCAGTATTCATGATAGGAAGAGAAGCGTTTATGAAACTGGGGAAAAAAAGAAAAGGATAAGTCCCCATAAAGTCACATCAGTATGTTTATCATTATTATTAACGATGCAGAGGTTAGCGCTAGCTTTAACGCCGCCATCTAGTTAAATATGCCTTTTTAACCCTTGGATACTTCACTTTGCTCCATTATGACGCACATGAAGAGCTTCAAATTTCCCTGTTGCAGGAACAGTTACGCCCATAGTTTGTTGGACAAAGACACCATTTCTTTGCAGTTTTGCCTCTGTACACCACCGCAGTGAATTATTACTCAAATAATAAACATGTGATTGAAGTGCAGACTTGGATACTTGGTTTAGTTTTATCTACAGTAACTGTAAAAGCTGCTGTTTCAGGTTGAGACCTGGTGACTGACTTGACCATTTCAGAATATCCCATTTCTTTGCTTTGAGAAACCCTCGGGTTGCTTTTTTTTAGTCCTCATCCTTTTGCAGTCTGATCAGTTTTACAACACATGGATGAATGCTGAGTACTGTTTAATCTGGCTACCTTGTTCTTCAGCATACCCAGCGGTTTGCACCTTGCTGTAAACCCTCTGCATTTAAATTCATCAAGGCGTCACTTGATTGTACACCTACCTCCCCACAAGTGTTATTGACTCGGTTAGATGTTGTGAAGTTGTTTTTTCTTAACCATGGAAGTAATTCACTAATAATAATATACAGTAATAATATAAAAATGAGCATTATAAGATAATAACCTTGTCATCATGCACTTTAGTTATCTTCCTCGGTCTTTCTTTTGGTTGAGCTGAGCTGGTTCACATAGTCTTTATTTTTAAGACTGTACCTCCTTTACTTATTGGTTTATTTATCTGTCTTGGTTTTCTTTTCTTTTTCAGTCCAGTGATGACCTCCCTCACTTGCATCGACACCTCTTTGACTTTCGATGCTTTCTGGAGCAGTCTAATTTGTCCTTCCTGTTCTTGCGCGTAACCAGCGGTTTGCATCTGGTTATAAACCTGTTTATTGTTCAAGAAGGCGTAGATCTTTATAATGATATCCCCCCTCACCCACTTCACTTATCCCCCCACCCACTTCACAAACTCCCCACCCTCATACTATGTTCTTGACTCGGTTAGTTGTTGTCTTAACTGTGGAAATAATTCTGTCATCATGCACTTTGCCATTTTCTTCTGTGGTCTTTCCGGTCTACTGTTTGTACTGTCGCTCTGATAAGTTTGTGTGGAGTTTTCAGTGACAGCCTCCCTCACTTGCACTGTCAACTTTGGGCCTTATATTTAAAATTACTTTGAAAAGCTTTAAAACAAAAACCCAGCACTTCAAAAATTGTGTCTGGTTCATTTGCCATGAAAGAACAAGCCAACAGATATCAGCTGGCCATAAAACTGTCCATCAGTCAGGTGTGCATTTTCACAAGTTTGTAAAAATGGAGGACTTTGTATACAAATGTCTGTAATGCCCCAAAGAGTTTATGCAAGGTTTTTGCAAAACCCATAAATTAAAGCTCAGAGTCTGCTCTTCAATTGCATCTTAACTGCTTCATTTAAAATCCACTGTGATGGTGTACAGAGGCAAAACCACAAAAACGATGTCTTTGTCCTAAAACAATATGCACATAAATTTATACAAGTAGGCCTAGAAAAATGGCAGAATATATAAACATATCCCAAGTGTTTCCACCTGCAGGACTACTTTTATGTATTACTTCATTGTACTTGAGTAAATGTGCTTGTATGTCATACATCTGGTGGATGTTTTGTTCCAAAACAACGTGCAGAAAAGCAAACTCATGTGGAAACAAAACCTGTACCCACATAGAGGTGAAGCATGATGTAAGAGGTGAAAATGGAGGGGGGAGACTCTATAACTGACCGGTAATATAAACTGTCTGCACGTACAGTATCATTCAGACTGGAGGGGAGGGGCGGGGGGGACTTACCTGGAGACATCCAGGGTCTAACCTCATGGGGTCAAAGGGCTTGCCTGTTTTTCGCGCTTCCTGTAACATCGGATAAACCACCTCCTGCCAGAACTGCTGATGTTCTTCGAGGATGGAGGGGAGGTTGGAGAAAAGCTGCTCGGGGGTCACCTTTTAAAACAGGAAGTGCGACAAAAATAAAAACATGTGTTTAACTCCCCTGCTTTGCTATATTTTCCGACTTCTCAGTGGAAATGTGTTGTTGTGCTACATGTTCCACTTGCACTCGAGTTGTATTTCGCCTCATCTTAAGCGGATGTTCTCGTTGTTAATCAATCTATGTCAGTGGTAAGCAGAACAGCGGAAAAAAAGTCCTGCAGGTGAAGTGACTGTGCAGCAAACTGTTGTGTTTTTAGTATTTAAATGATAATGCATGCTTTGCACACTGACCTCCTGGAGAAATCCTTTTTGGTGCAATTGGACAAGAGCCGCAATAACCAACTGTGGGAGGCAGACACAACTTTGTTATACATCCTGTTGAAACTCCCTTTCTCCGCTCTGAAACTTTAATGTAACTGACTGTAAGCAGCTAGAGAGTGACATCTTACGTCTTTTATAATAAGCAGCTTGTTGATGAAGATGAGTTCAGTATAGACAAACTCCCACAGCGCCTCCTGCTGGTGTCTCTGGATTTTTGACATTGTCTGAAAAGAGGAAGCAGAAGAAATGTCAGGGTCATCAGAAAGAATGTCGAATGTGCATATTGTGTAATGATTATTGCCATCAACGAGTCCCACAGCCAGAATAAGGCCAACAGAGTATCAGTTCCTCTATTACTGTTTGCCACCCCCACAGCCAACAGTTCACACGGGACACAAGCTCAATTGTTCCTGCCAGAAAAATGTGCTTTTATTTCCTAAAAAGGCAGTGCATAAGAAGCATGTACAATGGCATGGTTTACTGAAATAAACAATTTGTGGACTTCATTTAGACCACATGAGAATAAACTACAGGATGTCAGGCCTTGGCCAATGAATTGATCTGTTTTGTTCTTTTAATTTGATTTGTTGGCAGTAAGAAAAAGAAATATATATATAACGATAGGGCCCGTACTGAATGAGACTGCACTATATCTGTCCAGCTCGTCTCCAGCGTGGTTCCCTGACTTTCCTCGTTCCATCTCCACCTGAGATCCTCTGACAGAGAGAAGGCCTCCAGGACTTGCTTCAACCCATCCAGTTGACTTCGCTCCTGGGAAGTTGTCATAAACCATGAGAATAAATAAATAACAAAGAAGAAGAAAATAATCAGGCAGGGAAATGAGGGGAAAATATGACGCTCTACTGAATCAGTCCTTCCTTAATAGAAATAGATGTTAGTTTTGGCCACAGGTTACATCTAAAAGTATGACAGTGGAACAGAATGAACTGCACTGCTGCTGTGAATTTGGGCGTTTGAGTGGGCGTTTGAGTGGGCGGTTGCCTTTACAGCAAGTCTGTATCTGTTCCTTAGAAAACCAGCATGTAGTTTGATGAGCACAGCACAATACCTCAGACGCTTTGTCAGACACTCCCTGGCTGAACAGGACTTGTTTGAGTGCAGTTCTGGGTTTGGCTCCTGCAGAAGTTCCTTTACTCAGAGTTCCAAAGTCATTTGCGACCTTTTGCTTCGTTCGCCTCTGGAAGCACAAAAATGCAGCGGGACATGTGAGCATGTATGCACAAGAGAGGATTGCAATGAAAATAAATGAACTGAAACAGTGTAACACACCTAGAACTGAATCTAAACTTAATGCACAGTACTTCGGTACAGAAGAAGTATTTTACAAGTCAAGGTTTTTGACATCTTAGTGAAAGTACAGGGATTTTTATCAATAAAACATTTAAATAGTCAAAGTAAGAGTGCTTCAAGTGCCAATTTATAATTTTCATAATGACATATTTTTAATATTTAAGTTGCATAGAGTGTTGATCTCTATAAAAATCAGTATAATGTATGAAAAATACTTCAACTGGTTTTAAATACTAAGTTGTCCAGAATAAGTCAATAAGCTGCAAAACAAAAAAGGAATAATGGGTTTCAGCCTATAAACATATAGAAGAAAATTACCTTAATTAAAGTACTCAAGTAAATCTACTTAATTTAACCCCCACTGGTGCCAGAACAGCAGGCTTGCCCCATCCTTAAAATTCTGTCCCACTCCACTTGCCTGATGGCCGATTGTGCTGTACTTGTGTTTGTCTGCTGCCCTCTTGTGGTGGATGTTTAGGTCTGCAGCTTTCCCGTCAACGACATCAGGCTCTCTGGTTTCCGTCTCCCTCTGCCTCTCTCCATCCACAGTCTGCAGCACCGTTTCTTCCATTGGTGATTCACTCCCCCCTCCGTTGTTTACATGCTGTGCGTTTGGGATAAGGCTAAAGAGGAGCACACAGAGTTACTCAGTGCCATTATAAAGTGTGTGATGACTTCTTCAAAAAGAAAACAGTCCTTTCACAGGACTTTTATTAGGACTTTTATTTAAATCCAATGAGTAAATGCACATCAGACTCACAACCTAGATATAATGATAAACTGAATTATCATTAAACTCAGTGGCAAGCTCCAGATCATTCATGGCAAATCCCACTTTAAAAATACTTTTCAGGATTCCCACCAGTGACACAGTTTGAGTGTAAGCAATCAGTCCAAATGAACAGCTAACAGTCCAACATATAAATGCACAGCAAAAGGTACGCCATTTAGAGCCTTGTTTCATTTTAAATAGTCTTAAAAAAATACGTAAAATTAAGAAAACTCAATACATGTCAGAACTTATAATTGTGTTCATTTATTTAAAGATTTAATTTAACTTAAACAATTTAAGTTTATTTAAGTGTCGTTCTGGTCTGCTGCTCGCCGCCCTCGCAGGAACCCTGATTGGGCTGTCAACCATCAATCTCTAGCCCACCTGCCCAGGGCGCCCACCGCGATTAGCAAAAAAGAAAATACTCCACTCAACTTCGGTCTTCTAAACATTCGTTCATTGACGAGTAAGGGACCTCTCATCCAAGACCTCCTATCTGACCGTAAGTTTGACTTTTTCTGCTTAACTGAAACCTGGCAACAACCTGATGACTTTTCTCAGCTAAATGAATCT